GTGAAAGCGCAACTCAAATGCAATATTTCATCTCCAATTTATGAAACACGAAGATCAAATTGGTTTATGAGTGCTGCCCTTCTTAAAAATTCCAACAGCTCCCAAAAAAACTAGTCAAACAATGCAGGGCTTATATAAGAATGTTTCAGCCTTAAATAAGATTTTTAGTAAAGTTCAAATTGAAGCACTTTTCCAAAGTCAGGAACAGAAAGAGCACCATCTCGTTTTACTGGAAAAATTTCTTTCAAGGAGCAGCACCTCTCTGTGGTAGATCCTTAGAATCTTCCTTAAAGGAACGGGAAGGAGAGGAAGGGAATAGCAAAAATTATACCTCAATGATTTTGCACCACCAACTTGAGAACTGCAGATCCAGGTGGATGAATGCACATTTCAGGGGTCCACAATTCTTAGGTACGTTGCTTCTGAGTCAAAGATGCCACAGGAAAGTGAGTCTCTGAGTGTGCAAGCCCCAACACCTGTTGTGAAATAGAAGCTGTAAAAAAATTCATCTTTTTTCTTTTTTAAAAATAAGCTTAGTCATATTGGTGTGTTCTGTATAACCTTGATCTGTTTTATTTTACTTTGCTGTGCACATTATATTGATACTCTTACATAAATATTTTGCATAAGGTGCTTTCACAGATCTCATGCTTCCCTAAATGTGAAATATGCTGCTATTTGTTAAAATGTGTTAGTTTTGTTATGTCTGAGATTGCCTCCTCTGCACACAGAGGGAAAAAAGTTATGGACTTAACTCTTCTAGCAACTTTTACATTTAAGATATTACCTCATTTTATTTCTTCTAAATGAGAGTATAAAGGAAATGACAGTTTCTCGGAATATGTAAGTGCATATCCCTTAAACCAACAGGCCACTTTAGAGTCAGGGCTCTAGCCTTTTGAATTTGGCTTTCAGGTTCCCAAGTCTCCCTGCAGATTAAAAGGAGAGCAAACTTGGAATCAGATTTTATTTTGAGTTCTGAAAAGTGACATTGTAGATGTTGGTAGTCAGTTGATGGGTATCATTTTTAAACCTGCTGCACGTATATTTCATTTGTCTTGGGAAGATTTTACATATTTTATTTGTAAAATAATAGGCCATATTTCATGTAAACTATCAGAGGAAATACTGAGATTGTAAGATTGTAAACTCCTACTGAAGAGTTAGCATAGTAATTTCCCCTGCTGGTACCAGGTATTGAGCCCAAGGCCTCACACATGCTGGGCTAGTGCTCCACCACAAGTTACACCCCAGTCCTAACAGCTAGAATAGAGAATTGTTAATTGCAGGGGAAGTGAAGGATGACTTAGTCCATCCTCCGCCCAGTCAGTTCTCTCTACTGTGCTATCTGTGACTTATGATTATGTAGGCACTGTGACCATTTCAAATATGAAATGAAGAAGAAACTGATACTTCCTGGAGAAGCCTGTTCCTGAGCCAGAGGTCCTGCAGAAACTTTTCTTAGTTGTGAACTACATGACATAGTTAGAATCTACCTCACACTCTTAAGACACCTGGTTACTCAAACATAAGAACATCATACCTAACTGAAGTGGCATATATTGAAAATCCCTTGGTGGCCAGTACCCTGACCTAATGAGATGGATCTCCTGCCCTCGACTACAGGCTCCAGGAGGGCAGAGATCCCTCTTCTTTAGCTAATCCTGGATCCCTGTCTGGGGCCTATATTCAGTCAAGGCTTACTAAGCAGCCCTGGCACCTGACCCCTCTCCTCTCATGAGGTGTTGGGATACACGGCAGGCAGGCAAGGTGGGAAGAGTGTTCTGCGTGTGGTCTTGTGGCTGTATCCTGTTCCCCTGTGTCCATGGGGTGAGTCACAGGTCCCTGGATTCCCTATACTGCAATCCTTCTCTGGCCTAGCCTTGCTTCCATGAACTGTGGTCCAGTTCTCCACTGGCTTCTTCAGTTCCCCCATGATGGCCCTTGTTCCATACACTGCACAGAGACTTCTGATTCTGGTTGTGGCCCAGCATGCCCCATGCCACTCTGCTATGCCTACACCAGACCACAGATCTCACTCCGATGCTGCTCATAGGACAGTGGGCTCCTCACCTGCTGCAGTGGTTGTTACTAGTTGTAGGTCCCCCAGTCCATCTTTTCCCTCCTTCCCATTGCCTGTACCATGAAAGCAACTGCATGTCCAGAGTCCCTGGCACAGAGTCCCTGGCACAGAGTCCCCAGCCCAGCAGTACTTTTTCTAAAAATGCATGCATCTTGATGACCATTTTTTATCCTTTTGACAATTTTCCCCTTAACCTACCTGCTAATATAAGAAACTGCAATCTTCAGTCCAGATCAATGCATTTTGCTGCTGAAGTTCAGGTATGTTTTATTAAAGCCACCATGTGATTTTGTTGTTGCTGTTGTTGTTACTGGGTATTAAACCCAGGGGCACTCAACCAACGAGGCACATCCCCTGCTCAATTATTAGTTGCTTAGGTCCTCCCTAAATTGCTGAGGTTGGCCTTGAATTTGAGATCTTCCTGTCTCAGTCTCCCAAGTTGCTGGGATTACTGCACCCAGCACAACTGTGTGATTTTTGAGAGAACGTGTAGACAAAGGGTTTCCATTCACTTGATAGAATCCTGCAAATACCTGTTGGTGTCCCTTGCCTTTCAGACTTCTCCTTTGAGGATCTCTAGGCAAAACTGTGTCACTGAAGCCCAGGTTCCGCGTTCATAAACTGATAGAATACGAGTTAAGAAACAATACACCTTGCTTCTTTCCTAGCACGCATGAATGATGGGTATAAATTTGCATCATGAGAAAGTGAATACAAAAAGATCCCCCAGGGCACCTAGGGAGACAGAAAAAGCCAGTCTAGGATGAGCATGGCATCTGTGTGAGAGTGTGAGAGTGAGAGTCCCTCTCTGCCTCAGTGACATAAATACCAAGTCTGCAAGTATGGGGCAAAGAAAAAGAATCAACCTTTAATTCTTAACTATATAAATTTTGCTTTCAGTGTAGGATACCATAGCATCCCCCCTCAAAGATAAAAGAAACCCACTACATTTCTAAGAATGTTCCTCCAGAAAAATGGAACTGAAAGCTTTTTTTTTTTTTAAATTGATCTGACCCTAAGAAAACAGTGGGGCTTTTTCTTTAATTTACCTAAGGAATTGACATAAAAAAATCTATGGCTCTGCACCAAAAAATATGCATAAAGTGTAAAAGCAGAGGGCAGTCATTTTAAAAAGACTGGAGATTTTTCTAAACATTGTATGTGTGGCATTTAATTACAAGTGTGCACCATGGGGAAGTGAATCTTTGGACTGTGAAATTGATGCTAATTTTCTTTCCCAGCAGTTTAGGAACTCTCTAAAATGTCACATCATTAATTTAGTCGCTTTGCCAGGAATCAGTGCATGTGGTCAGAGTGTGTGTGTTTTTAAATTAATAGCCTTTATTTTTAGAACAGTTTTAGACTTACCAAAGGGGGAAAAATTGAGCTGATAGTACAGAGAATTCCCATCTACCCTCTACCAGGGCACAGTTTCCCCCATTTTTTGCAAACTTGCATTAGTGTGGCATATTTGTTCTGATTAATGAGCCAATATTGATGTATAATTAAAGTCCATGCTTTATATTAAGGTTTCCTCTTTGGGTCATATAGTTCTATGGGCTCTGACAAATGTATACCATGTACCCACCATCATACCATCATACTAAATATCACCACCCTAAAAATCCTCTCTGTTCTTCCACCTGCTTATCCCTCCACATCTCCCTCCAAGCCCCTGGCAACCCCTTATCTTTTATTGTCTCCATTATGTTGCCTTTTCTAGAATATCATGTCATTGGAATCATATAGTATGTGGCCTGTTCAGATTGGCTTCTTTCCTTAAACAATAAACACTTAAGTTTTCTCCACCCTTTTTCATGTCCTGATAGCTCACTTCCTTTCATCATTGAATAAGAGTCCATGTATGCATGTACATAGTTTGTCCATTCACCTATTGAAGGACATCTTAGTTGCTTCCAATTTTTTGGCAATTATGGACAAGGCTGTTATAAACTTGTGTGTAGATGTTTGCAGTTATTTTATTTTTAACTCAATTGAGTCAATGTACCTAGAAGTGTTCTTGCTGGCTTACGAAGTAGATGTTTGCTTAATTTTGTAGGAAACTGACTGCCAATGTAATTTTATCGTTTTGCACTTTTACTTTTACCAGCAATGAGTGAGAGCTCCTGTTGCTCCACATTCTCGGCAGCATTTGGTGCGGTCAGGTTTTGGGGTTTTAGCCATTCGAATAAGATATGCAACTGTCCTCACCCTCACTCTCTTGAGTCCACTGTGGTCTGTGAAGTCTGGCAGCTCCCTGACCTCATGCCACAGTGGGAAATGAGAATGTTTACAGAGACTGCCTAAGCTGAAGGCTGCCTCTCTGGGCATGAGCCATCACCCTGAGGTTGTCACCCTCTGGGAGCACCAAGCAAGGGGTTCTGGGGTTCCCACTGCTTATAGGATCATACACTTCTCCCCTTTCTTCTTCTTGCATAAAACACAGGATACCCACATCATCTCCTCTATGGGCTTTCACAAAAGCGCAGAGGAGAGCCTTTGACTTTGGATCTCCTCTGCTCACCCCCACCTGCACAAATCTGTTTCAAAGAAAGTTCAGAAAACAGACACTACAGAGAGTGGAAACTGTTTATCCTACACTGGAACTGCCACTTCCACCACTATCTAGAATACTTTTAGACGGCTCCCTAGCCACAGGCCACAGGCAGTCATTTAAACAGAGCAACGGACATATGGCTGAGAAGGGAAATTAGAGCTAAGTGCTGGATGATTCTAAATGCTGATGGGTGTCTGGCTCTGTCACACTGAGCAGACCCTGAAGGTGTGGGCGTGGCGACAGGAGGGTGTGCGCCTTTTCCCGCCCACAGCTCTGTCTACTGCCCTGGGTGGCCTCTCCCTCTCCGGCTGCTTTTCCTTGCAGCCTCGGCCTTAGGCATGAGAACATCCGGGGATGAGGCAGTGGAGGAAGAAGGCCAACACAGAAAGCAGCTTTCTGAGGTTACCAGCAACTTCCTCCTCACCAAGCACAAGGAACTGGTCTTCATCCAGCGCCGCCTCCTGGCAGCCTTTGATGCTGGTGACTACCAGAGCTGCTGCATCCTGTCCGCCCGGGCTCTCGTGGCGCACAGGGCAGCCATGGTGCTTCTGATTGGCTGATCGCTGGCCCCAAACACTGACACACAAACAAGAGTGGGTAAGGGGGCGGCCATCGGCTTAACGTGTGAAAACAATCATGGTCAGCCGACCTCCTACAATTGTTTTAAGCTAAATGTGACCTCTGACTCATTGATGAATGTCATCTTGTCACTGCCTGCTCCAAGCTGCCAGAGCCCTCTCTGCTGGGAGGTATGTGGACTCACTCAGGGAGGAGGGTGCTGGTGGGAGGGTCCCTAGCCGGGTCTCAAGGACCCCGTTGAGCGGGGTCCTCGAGATCACATCCCACCGAACGGTGGAGGAGACTGCTGGTATTTAGCAGAGAGTGGATTTATAATATCTGCATTCTGCATATCGGGAAACTTTGACCTAAGAGGGTTCATGAATATATTCTGGTAATTCTAAAAAACAGGACAGGGACAACTGGATGTTACTTACGGAGCTGGGGAGTTAGAAGTGGTAGATAAGGGATCATTATAAAAAGGATCATGTTCCTATAACTATCAGGTAGTGAGTCTCCGAGTCTGGCCAATGAGAAAGCAAAGCTCAGACATGCCTCCATCAGAGATGACACAGAGGGGTCCCTGCTTGAAAGGCGAGAAGGACAGTTTCCAAGGTCCTTTACATTCTTGCAGTGCTAAATCAGTGAATTTCATGACACCACATGGTCCCTTATTTCTGGTGCTAGCCTTGCCACTCATCTCCCTCCTTTAGAGTACTTCTATGTTACAGCCTTGGAGGAGGCCACTCAGTGTAAACAGGAACTGAAGTAGGGATGTAGAAAAGGAAAAACTATAAAACGGCCTTTTAAAATAAAGAAAAAATAGCCTCTGGTGTGCCAGAATCTCAGGCACCATATAACTTCCCTAAGAACACACAGGTATCCAGAGCCACAGTATGAACACTGGTCTCTGTGATTCTCAAACCTAGTTTGATATGCCATTTGACATCTTTTTTTTTTTTTGCAAATGATACTACTTTCTGTGATTCTTAGTATTAACATAAAACTTTCTTTTTAAATAAATTTAGTTAAAGTAAGTTAAGAGAAAAATACTATAAAAGCAATAGTCCAGATTTTACATGCATGTGAAGTGGTACTAGTAACTAGAATGACTAAAGTTTGGGAAATATAGCTTCAGATATTTTGATAGCAGCACTTTCAGTTTAGCATATCTTGCATCTTGACTGTGTACAAAAAAAAGGAAGACCCTTAAAAATAAGGGAAACATGAATGAATTCTCCTGTCCTCTGATAGGTGAGTGATTTCATATTTTACAATAAGAAAACCACACGGACCCTTTCAACTAAAAGAAAATTGTGATTGTAAAACCCAGAGGAAACCCCCAGGTGGAGCCTATCCATATAAAGGGTGAAGTTTCCAAGATCTGCCTGTAGAGTGGCTGAGGGGAAGTAAGGCCCAAGTGAGTCAGGACAAGGACCTGGGCAGCAGTCTGCGGGTTGGAGAGGCCCAGGATGGAACGTGAAGGGGCTTACAGACCCTGCTTGGGAAGAACTATCATCACCTCTTTAATGCTAAGGGGAAGATCTTTGTGGAAAGGTCAAAGAAAGAACTGGGAAAGACTCAAAAGAAAAAAGGAGACTAATAACGGAAAGCTCAACAGCTCATACTTGCTACCAGGTGATTTGCATAGAATACCTTATTTGTCTCTCATAACAATGCAGAAAGGAAAGCTATAAGTAGTCCCATTTCACAGGACAGAAGATTGAGACTCCAAGGTGTCCAATAACTTGCCCTGTATCCAGTGGTCAAGCTAGAATCTGACCTGGGACCACCAGTTCCAAGCCCAGGGTCCTTCCCCGGTACCACATGTTTTGGCTGGGTGAGCTTCCTCAACCCGGCCACCAATAACCAACTTTCACTTTGTCACTTTTCATTTCTCTAGCTTTGCAGGCCACAGCTAGCCTCTAAAAAAAAGCAGAGGAGGCTTTCTCAGCAGGACTGCCTTGCTTCTTCTGAGCTCAAACGCTGCAGACCTCAGAGGCCCACAAATGCCTACCATTGCCACCAGTACCACTGAGCATAGGGCTCTGCAGTCCCTGATGCTCCTGGGCAGATCATAATGATCCCTGTCTATAATTGAAGCCGATCCCTGCTGAAGCACTAGGTTCAGAGATCTTTACCGGGCATAAACCCACCTTTCTCACTTCTGCTTGTTACTAGTCCCAGAACCCAACAGTTCCACCCACTTCCAGGAATAGTGGACCAAAATAATAGAAGCATTCCAGATTCATACAGTTCGGATTACATTAGGGTAATCGAACAATGATGGCTGCATATGAGACTTGGCTTCTAGCAGGATCCATGGAGATGAATGAATGATTCAATCTCTGCTCTAATGGAAGACCATCTCCTGCATCTCTGGGGGCCAGATCCAGTGTCTGGTACGTGGCTGAGCTGAGCTGAGTCTTTTCCCGTGGGCTTTGAAGATTGCCCTCCTCTTCTCTACCACTCTGTCAGGGAAGGTGTCTGTCATGATTGTGGATGGGGCTGTCTTTGGGGGTTTCCTCAGGGCTTTACACTGCCTCTCTGTCCAAGCCTGCATTTGTAGTCATTCTCATCAGTGGAAATGCCCACCTGCCAGCAGAAGTTATCTGGAACCACGCAAGAACATTGGCCCGTCTGCGGTGTTGTTTCTCTCTAGTCAGTTCCCCTTTCTGTATTTGAGTTCTAGCCTCAGTCCTGAGATTATTCTTTCTCTACAAGAGGAGTCTTAGGAGGCCTGGGGAGCTGGTACTGACTCCTCCGAGTGTATTTTCAAAACTTCGCTCCTGTGCTCTTTGGGAATGCTGCTGTGCTCATGTGTCTGGTCTCTGGGAGCTACGGTGGATGGGCGTAAGTGACAGGTATGTTCTTTTGAAGCCCATGTGCCCGGGGAGTACAGCGTGAGAGAAGGCTGCATTGGGGCAGAGATGGGGCTGGTGGCTGGCAAGGGGATGCATCAGAGGGAGGGCAGAAGACATGCTTAAAACCTTTGGCCATCGTGCTTAATTTGGAGTCTAGCTACATTGGAGATGAGATATCAGAAAAATGAGACTCTTCCAGCCAGATCCCTGTATGGGCTTTAGTGGGCCAAGAGACCAGATAGGCAGAAGAATGGAAGGTGCACTTACCAAACAGCTGGCAGCTGCCCTTGACCTTGGAGTGCTGGGGGCTCCAAGCAGCTCTGCTCTGGGAGAAACTGTCCAAGGATGTTGGCCCTGCCTGAGCCCCATGTACAATGGGAAATGAAGAGGAGGGAGGCAGTGTCACAACTTCTCTGTAATAGCCTCGGCTTTCCTGTCTGACCTTTCCTCCTCTGGTCCAGAAATGCTTATCCTCCCACCCCAACTTCTTCCCTTCTAGCTGCCCCATCCCAATATTGAGACCAGTAGGTCATTTGGAAAGAAATACTCTGATCAAAAAAGAGCCCGGTCAGTGGTTTAACACAGTTGCACATACTGTGAACACATTTGCATTTATTTGCAAATAGGCTTAAAATATCGCCTCCATTAATAGTGATTTAAGGTTCTGGAGAGACAGGTGAAAATAATTTTTGGCCAAGGGAACTTCCCACTCCTCTCAAATTGTAAAAACTAAGGAGATGGCCTGCTCTTCTTATGTGTAAATTCAGTCTTGGGACTAAGGCTCTGGACTGTGTATTTATGTGGTCAAATTCACCATTCTGTATTATGTTTGCTAAAGAGACCATGAGTGTTATCTTGTGAGCCGGCTAAAGTGTAATGGGTTTTCTGAATCTGTTATTATTCATACATTCAGAATATGTATATTGTGTGCTTACTATGTTCTAGGAACTGGGTTTTTTAAAAAAAATATATTTTTT